ATCCTCAAAATTCCCAAGGATACACATTGTTACCAATCAGAAATATATTATAGTGGTAATAAGGATGTGGAAACCCCTAAGAAAAAACTTATTTATGGTATATGACAAATTTTAACTAGTACAATCTATACAAGTTTTGTGACTTCATCTGAAGCCTTTTGAATCATGGATTTACAGGTAAAGCCTGCTATATATTATCAAGTCAGATATCAAATATTAACAATTTCTCTTACCATTATTTCCCTGGCCTGGCTTCAATGGGGCCAGAGTTGATACTGACAAATTTCAGAAAAATCTGTCACACCTAACACACTGTCACACCTAACACAATGTCACACCTAACACCCTGTCAAATCAAACACACTGTCACACTTTACACTTTCCATTTAACACTTAAAACTAAATCATTAGCTTATAGCACTTTGACGTACATTCATACATTCATTACGCAGCGCTTGGAAACTTGCAAAACATAAGTTGGGCGTGTTGCACGGTGTCGATTATTTTGGTTAAACCTCTTATTTATTATATTAAACCTACCTACAGCCTCCTTCCACGTCTCACACTCAATAAATCCTGTCTGATTCAGGTCCTGTATGCGAGGGTCGACTTGGAAGGTGACCCCTTTGGTTGTCCCTGTCGTGTTCAGAGTAGAGAGGGGGTTGGACAGGGGGAGAGAGATCTCCTTACAACGCTGGTCACGGGGCTTTGAAACACAGGACATTGCGATTAATATGGTCCTATTTATGAAGTAAAAAATCCCTGCCTATTCTGCATATAATTTTTCCTGTATATAATCCCAGATTTGAGTTTCGCGTGAAGATATCATACATGTGTCTCACTAGATCATATCCCTGTTTTCAAATATTTGCTATCACCTTGAGCTGGTATATTCCAAGTAAATTGTTCCAACTTGATTCACTTTCATCCTGTCAGCATTTGGAATTCCCCTGAAGGCATCTTGACTTCCTATCCATTAAACAAACCATCACCTTTTTTCTCCATCTCGTTTTTAAAAAAATCTCATCAGCTGTGCTTGAAACCTCTACATATTAATTCACAGAATGCAAAATATGCCTCTCTCTCTTTTCCTGCCTGTGTCACACAGCTGTTCTCCTTCCTTGATGACTAGACTCCCATTTTTAATGGTATCTGACATAAACTTCAGCAATTTTCAGACCAATGTCTCTCGGCAGCTCTGTTTGATCTATTTGCAGTCAGACCACCTCACTTACAGCTTATTTCTATTGGGAGTTCCCTCCCTTTCGGTATCTTTCTCTTTCAGTGGTCAATCTCTCTAACTGACCAGTGGTTCATTAACTGGTTCCTTTGTATCTATAGTAACCTAGCCAATTCCTCTTCCATCATTCTTTCTGGAAACTGTTTTCTTTTGGTAACTCGATATTTATCAAACAAATACTTCTGTACCCAATCTCTTTGGCAAGTTTGGCCGTGGTCAATCTTCCTTTCAGCCTGGTCACTCCCTCTGTCACCACAAGTTACCTAAATGTTTCCACAAGGTCAGTCTGGTGTCCAGTTTCAACCTGTCATCACTGCCAAATCAAACAGCTTCCTCCCTCCATCAAGTATATGAGTGCTGGACATTAACGAATATGTGTTCAGTTGGTCTACACCTCTACTCACTCACTCACAGTGTTATAAACTCTTCACAACGGCAGCCCTGTAACATTACAGTCATGTTTACACAAGGACTAAACTGGACCGAAAACTGACTGACTGATGTCAACTTATGATCAGATTGCACGAGCATCCTTAAATAAACCAAGTAGAACCATTACTAGTTTGATGATGCCAATTTGATGAGTCGATTCTCAGTACAAGTTGGTCTAAATGTGACTACTTTGTCAGCCATATTCTCAGTTGACTATACTATCATTTTTATAAAGTTCTTCAGGAGTTTCTCTTATAGTATTTTTGGGCGGATTCAGATTCAAGTTATACTTTAATACAGGAATTTTCCAAAAACCCATGTTCAATGATGCTGATGTAAGGAGTCCAGCTTTTGCCTAGCTAATGCTTTTCACTGCTAAAATCCAAAGATGGTTACAGAAGAGAATTTCTGTTAATCTGAACCTCAGGGTGAGAGCAGTGTGTACACTGTAATATATATCCAGTTATGCCGTTACTGTTCCACACTTAGTATTATCAACAAACATTGAGGAATTTGTATCCTTTTAGCAAACACAAATTTAGCATCTTGGTCCCTGTAAACTCTTCCTCAGTAACTTTTGCATTAAGTTGGAAAATGGACAACAAAAGAATTTTTTTCTTTTTTTATCAAAATGACAATTTAACATGTAAATGTATACATCCTAAAGATCTTTTCTTGAGTTTTGAAATGCATTACCGATTGTTTTGTGAATTCATATTGGTTACAATTTCAAAGCCAATTCTACCAAGTCATTTGCATCATAGATATTTTGGCCACCTTAGGCCAAATTCCAAGCTCGTGTCTGCCTATGAATCCATGTGCTTTAGATCCATAAAAAGATAAAATAATGTTCTACCTTAAGTCTATATATACGTTATGTGCAAAAAGCTTATACTAAACATCCCATTAATGTCAAGAACAATTAGCCAGGTAGATGCTACATTTCTTTTACTTTCGTGGGGACTGTACTTAAACATTTTCTCACTCACACAAGTTCTGTTTGCTTGGTGTGCACAATATAAACTGCCCTGGTTAGACTACTGCGTTCTGAGATTTCTTCCAACACATAAGTTTATTTTGGGGGATACTTTTAAGAACTCATTATTTCTGAACTGTATACAGAGAAAAAAAACAGAACTGCTTTTTTTCTGAGTCACATTACCTCTCAAAGAACACTTAGTCTAAGATGTTTTCCCATTTTCTTAACAGCAAAAGACAGTTTCCTCATCCAAGTTTCTTAAACATGCTGGCCACCCAGTCTCAAGTGTTTCTGACTAGTTAAAAAACTTTGACTGTTAACTTAAAAGCATCTCACAACAGTACTGTGCACTGCAAGTCATTATCTTCTCTGGAAAGTGATGTACTGTAGTTGTTTCCAAAGATTCTTTTCAATATGTGAATTGGATGTGGTTTCTGATTTAACATTGGAAGACTCTCAGCCTGTTTGGAATATATAAGGAGTCATTATCTTCTCTGGAAAGTGATGTACTGTAGTTGTTTCCAAAGATTCTTTTCAATATGTGAATTGGATGTGGTTTCTGATTTAACATTGGAAGACTCTCAGCCTGTTTGGAATATATAAGGCATATAAATTTCTTTTAATAAAATTTAGACATATTTTTGAATATCCAATACCCCCCTTCTTAATTCACACCTGTAGTGAGTGTGCTTCTGTATTCAGAAAGTTCGGTATTCTGAAGGTTCATTATAACAAAGGTCCACTATGACGAGGGTTTCCTATTCCAAAATAGGCTGACAGTACAGATAGAGTGGAAAGATAAAAAAGTAATCAAATCACCAGTGGGTTCTAATGCGGCAAAAGTCAAAGCATTTTTTTGCAAAACGCAACAGTAGATATTCTCATTGGGCTTAGAGTGTAATTAGAGCAAAGAAAGGGGGGGGGGTGAGTTACACATTTTATTCTTACCGTTTGTTGTAATCATAAGGAAATGCACAAAATCTGCATACATCACAAAAAAGGCAAATAAGAAAAAGTCTCCTAAATATATTTCTTTGACAAGGTGGTCAGTGCTTGCCCCACTTATGCCACTAATGCAGCTATCCCATCAATAAACCTTTTCTGAATACCAAACCTTCAGAATACTGAACTTTTTTGTTGGCATAGGGAACCTTTGCCAGTCAACTTTAGACTAAGGCTCCTTCATTTTTCGAACCTTGGGAATACCACACACCCTCAGAACATAGAGCTGATTCCACTGTTACAGTAACAAAATGATGAATGCACCTCTTTCAGTTTGTTTAACCTCAACTACAAGGTTTGTTTCCACTATATCCTTATCCTATCTGAAGCATAACAGAGTGGTTTATACAACCCTACCCTCCCTAAACACTTTATGATATGGGGATTACCATAGACTAAACAGAGCTGATGAAAATCAAGTCAGGAAGTGCATATATATATATATATATATATATATATATAGAGAGAGAGAGAGAGAGAGAGAGAGAGAGAGAGAGAGAGAGAGACTAGTCACTTTTATTAAAAATAAATTTCAGGAAGTTGAGAAAATTTCTTACAATAGATATTTGCTTCTAGGCAAAGCAATATCTCAAAGAAGGCTACTAGCCCAAAGATATCTTAGTGATCTTAAAAATCTTAATTATCACGGAAATCCATTTTTATACATACCTTGGTTAATTTGATTCTACTTTTTGCTATCTTATTAACATGTCACTCCTCACAGGCATTAAAGAAACTGCCTGGCAGTGACAGTACCTGTCTGTCTATACAGGAAAAGGGGAGGGGGGGGGCAAATTACTGACAAATATATAACTTTATTCAGTATCCATACAGAATATATATATGATATCAATAAATGCTGCAAATGTCACTTTTTCCTATTTTAATAATTCTAATTAAAATTTACTGATTACTACTTAAATACAGTAACTGATATTTCAAACAGATGATAATAAAACTAGATGAAGAATACTTCAATACCAAGAAGAGAAAAGCATAACTCTTACTAATAACCCTCAGTTTCAGTTCCACTTGTCTTTGGCAATTTGCACCGAACCTCAAAGGTTCCAGAACCCCCAAAATAATGAGGTAGACTTTTTTCCACCAAAAATCTGTTTTTGATCAAACTTTGCCTTTCCATGTGATATGACACTATTGCTGTTCTAGTGTTTATAAAACACAGAGAAATAAACAAGGAAATTGCACTTAAAACGGCAACACCTTGGCAGTAGCCTGATGGTAGGGATGATTAAAGCCTATACCCTTGGCAGTGGGCTAATGGCATGGACTGAAAAAAAAAAATGCCACAGAGTTTTCATACCCTCTTGCACAGAGACAAGGCTTCTTTCTTTTTTTCAATCGTTAAACATTATTTTACACCAATCATGTTTGTTTTTCCAAAATAAAAACAATGAATTGATATTACAATGAATCAAAACATGTCCAAGTATAATAATTAATGAAACATCTAAAATATACCGAAGACAAATGATCTGAAGAAAATAAAATCCTGTGGTGCGCTCTCTGTATAAGGGGGTGTATACCAAGAATCTGTACAGACTGCCCCTGCCACTCACATGGACTACATTCATATAACTCACTGCCTACTGTCCATACACACTGACAGTGACCAATATACTGACCCATCGGAGATGGAACGGGGATAGCGCCTTTGCATATTTAGGTACACATTCTTACAAAATTTCTTTATCACCAATTCTTGATCACAATGGTTATCTTGACTGTTCATTTCCCTTCAGTTCAAGGTGCTTTTGTAATCTATGCCTTATGGGGATTTGAATATTGACAATTCTATGGGATGCTCTCTATATACTGATAATTAAGGAACTGTTCCAAAGACAGCAATGATATTAATGAAACTAATTTCAACTCCATTAACATTTGAGTTGGACTGCTCTAAAAACAGCAGGCAGAAAAAAACAGACAGACAGAAGTTCAACGAAGAAGTTGCAAGGTAAGAAACTTCTCTTGAATCTATTTTTTTAGTCTTTAATGTTTCTATATGATGAATTTATCCAGGAACAATAGATAAATTTATCTAGGGACAATACTGTATGGCACAGGCATGCTGTGATTGTGTATTTATTACAATTTATCAAATTCTTTAAAATCGCAATCATACTAGTAGGCTTCATCAATATTTTATTCAAATTGCAAAATGAATTATTTTTATTGAGGGAAACAACCAAGATGAGATCAATAATTCCATATAAAAATGGAATGTTGTTCTTGTTTTACAAATCTATCCTGAATCTCTCAATAACTTATTAGTTTAAACGAATTTCTCAAAACTGTGCAATTCCTCTTATGTGAAACCTGTTATCTATACATATTTTTATTATGATAGTTCTATAATATAAGCAATTTTATTCTTAATATGTTATGCACTATCTATTTAATTATAATGGGTGTTTAACTGTCAACACAAATTGGAAAACAACAGAGCATTTCCTTTCACTTCCTTCTCTAATTTACACCAGGCTTTTTAACACAGGAAACAGTTTTCAAACACAACTTATTTTCAGTCTTGTGATCTGCAAAAAGCTTTAAAATTAAACAGAGTTTGGACAGAGCTTACTTTGTTGTAAGAGCTCTCAGTTCACAGTTAGTGTCATTATGCTTGGCTGGCAGGCTATGGGAATTCCTCTGTGGTTTAAAAATACTGTCAAAACATACAGGCTGTAGTTTACAAGTTACTGTGAACTATATAGGCACTGTAGTTCACTAATTTGTACACACACACACTGAGAGAGAGAGAGAGAGAGAGAGAGGAAGGGGAAAGCAAATGGTGATTAATTCTTTTTAGCAATCTTCCATCTAAGTAAATTTTACCGAAAAAGAATTAGTTCACACTCATGGTGTCATATTGTTCATGGTACTTACTAACTAGACGTGAGGGACATTAGCCACATTATAGTTCCAGTAATCTCAGTCAACACCAAAACCTTAATTAAAACTTTCCAGGGCCAACCTCAAATCTTCTGCAGGACTTAAAGTTTTATATCTAAATAAAATAATTTTATCTTACCTGGTATGTCACTGTATCTTGCCACAGCCAATTCATCATACGACTTATGTTTGCCTGGTTTTCCATCTGAAAAAGTATAAATATAAATAAGACTAATTTCACTTCTTAAAAAATATTTAATTAATATATAATTGACTTAGAGAAATGGTTATCAAAATGCAGTCTAATGATTAAAACAAGAATAATTTTTCAATGATTTTATGCACAGACCAGCACAATGATGATCAAGAAACCAACAGGATTGTGCTGGCTGCAATCACCCTGTAGCTCAACTAACACAATACTAAACACCATCACAACTATAGCAATGTTCGTTCATTCAAACATTCTTAACAAAACGTGTCTGCAAGATCTATTGTCATATATATATATATATATATATATATATATATATATATATATATATTTTTTTTTTTTTTTAGCTTTTTTGATAAAATGATCTGAGAAGAACAAGGAGAGGAGTATCAAAGTGCCCAACATTGTAGCTGTAAATACCTGCATGTTCATACAGATACATTCTTCTCATAAACTATCATTCAAAGAAATATTATCACCATAACTCATCACTTTTCTATACAGTATGGAATACAGAATTATCTTCAGTATCCTTCTCCTTCGTATTCACTACAAATACTTGACACTCTTAAATCGTCTACGTCAACTGTCACAAAAAATACTACCATATGCTTTTGATATCTATGACAACAAATGCCAATTTTAATGGAATGCTTTGGTGAAAAGCTTTATAACAGGCAGAAAATTACTTAATCTACCTCACTGCCCACCTGCTGTCAATCACCTGTAGTGTACCTGGGAGAAATTCTTTTAACTCCAAGAGTTAAATGTAGCCCTCCCTCCCATCCAGAGCCTTATACAATCTAACAGCTGATGCATCATAAATATAGATCTACAATTACTACTACACAGGTAAGAATATTACCCTAACACACTCACTAAAATTGCCATTAATGGGTCCTTTATAATGCACCCACATACGCATAAACACACATACTGCAAAGTTCTAATAAAAAAAAAAATTTGATCCTAAAATACTGCTAGTACTCACGGTACCACCAATTTGTGTACATTTTTGTAAAATGGTTAAAAAATATAAACAAACTTAAACCAAATTTTAAAAAAATATAGCAGAATTTCATATTTTATATTATGTTTTGGATCCTACTTGAAAAAAGTGTGACTGTAAAAAGTCAACTCATTATGTCTGTTTATTCTACAACAGTGAGTTGCTGTGGTAATAGATGTATCAGTTACTATGTTAACAACTGTGCTTTACAAACATCACGTCCTATAGTAACTGGCAAGTTTGAATTTTATGTGTAACCTTTATTGTGTTCGAGCTAACCGAGATACTGGTAAATATTATGTATAAATTAACCACTTTTATGTTTTACAGCTAATTTTCTTTATATAAACATAATAATAGTGCAATGTTTATCAAATGTGTTATGAACTGACAAAGTCATTTAGCTGCATTGAAACAGCCATGGGTTATTAAATATTTGTCAATTTTCAGTTTATATACACAAAAATGAATATTGTTATGTATTTATTTCCTGATATATGGACTAGGAAAGGAACTGCACAATGTCTTCTGCACACACAACCTTGTAGAAAAACACTGCAGAGAAATAGGGAGAATTGATATCTTGCACCAAGTGGCCTGATACTGCCAGGAAGCTATAACCACAGCACTAATACCATTATGAAAACACTGATTCTGGTCTGGTCAGAGCAGAAAAGGGGATTTATATTTGGTCAGATTTGGTTGGTAAGATAAACCTTGGCTTAAAAAATAAAAAAAAAGAAAAAAAATTGTCAACCTCCTTCAATCCATGAAAAAGTTAACTTTTGAGTCTGATGCCAAAGGATACCTTTGTAGACCTTGCAATGTACCTTGCTTCTTATGACCAATTTCCACTCATGCTGTGACTTCATAAACAATCCTATTTTAGCAGCCTGTGTTTACCACTTCAAACCATAGAATGGCAATCTTATCTATTTGTTGTCCCACCCACCATCACTATATTGTAAATGAGAGGAGTTGGGTGTCTTTCACCCAAGTTTCAGTGTTCACTGGGATTTTTTTCTCACATGTCACTGATGTATCCGAGTATGCTTCCACTTTCTGAAAGTTCAGTATTCTGAAGGATGGCTATGATGAAGGTTTGCTATTCCAAAATAAACATACAGGTACAGATAGAGTGCAAAGATATACCGAACTTTTTTTGTTTGGCACAGTGGAAATTCAGGATAATGGTCAATTTTAGATCAAGGCTCCTTTATTTTTTCAGAATACCAAACCATCAGAATACCGAACCTTTGGAACAAAGAGCTAATGCTCTGTACCCAGTATCTGGCAGAGGTATACTGGTACAATAACAAAGGTGAGTTTTCACTGACCTCTGAAACTCAGGGTTTGCTACCTCGGGTGAGAAAAAATTAATCGTGTTATTAACTAAACATATATGCACACTAAATTAAGCGGTCACAGCTCAGCTGGAAATGCGCCTTCAGGTGCTTACCATCTTCCCTTAACCCTCTCTGCACAACAACATCCAGCCGTCTGAGCAGATACTGTTTCAGTCTGGACAGCTTCTTCATGGCAAGTTGATGTCAACACAGTGCTAGTAATGCCAAGTTTTCTTACTTCTTTATCAGGGTCCTGAGAAATCCTCACTTAACCTTCTCCTTGTTCAGGCTTCTGAGTACAGATCTTTTTAAGTGTTGTTCAGTGGAAAGTTTCATTCAGAAATGCTACTAGTATATACTTCCAGGCCTGTATGGGATCATTTCTCTTCATCCCACCTCTCAATCTTTTCAGTTTTTGATCAAGTTTTAATGGATGCACAGGTCTACAAGTACATGTATATCTAAATGACAGCTTAGTGTGCACATTGAAAGTACTTAATATTCTCACTTGCTCAGGTGACCTGCTGCTTGGCTGGTAACTGTCAANTTCTGTAAGTTTCAAGCCAAAAGAAAAAACAGTTTTCCACTTATCGTGTTATCGGTAAAAGTGCACGGCGACGGCGACGGCGACGGCGACAGCGACGGCGACGACGGCGACGACGGCGACGACAGACGCAGATGATGGCTATATGTACAGACACATCTGTGTCTGTACATAAAAATGATTGTCAAAATAGACCAATGAGGTTAAACAACATTGGCATCAGAACTGCACAAGCAAATTCTTCAAACCTGCAACCACTCTGTTATACATCCAAGTTATAGCAGTATTAAACATGTTTGAAAAGTCTTCACACAGTTTTTCATGCAGCGAAATGATCCTACACCTCACTCCTCTCAAGGTTAATGGAGTTTCCACCATGCAAAATTCATTTCAATCATATTACATTCCACTGTTATTTCCCTCGTTGCCTGCCAATGATATACACCAGGCTTGTAGTTAGAAATGTATTTTACACAGTGTGCTATAAAGTTCGCAGCACCTGAATCCAGTTATAATATGTATCCAACTGTTATTCAAGTACTTATTAATAACCACTTGGTCTACTGGTCAGACAGAGTGACGGTCACTCCAGTGTGTCATCAGCCAAATTTAACAATAAATCCATATCTATCAAATGTGCTCTTTTCTAATATTCATGCACAGTGGCATTTATTCACTGAGCTCTGGTTTGGACTTTGAGTCATCTAAATCCACTTCATTCTACTGATGGATGAATTCAAACCTGATCTCAATACCCTATTTCTTTTACTCCAGCACTGAAGTGTAAAAAATAAAGACTTCACACCTTGTCAAATCCTTTTTCGTCACTTGCTCTGTAGTTCTAACTCAAGGTGGATGTTGGTTGCCTTTGTACTGGACTCAGCTCAAATCCCTACCCACAGAATCCACGACCTTGCTTTTTTCCCACAGATAAATCCCTGTTCTTAGTCACGTCATATTGTCATTGTCAGGGAACCTGTTACATGATTCTGCATAATATTCAGACCTCTATTCTTCAGACTTTGTATCCAAGTGGAAAACCTTGTTTCTTTTTCATCAACTGTATTCGACAATCAATCTTGTCTGCGTGCCTGCCTGCCTTTTTCCAGTAAACACAAATACAAGGATCACTAGAGAGGGGTATTGCAATCAATGGTCATCAACCTGGAGACTAAAATCCTCTTTGTGAAAACAGACTTGAACACGACTTGAGATCCATAGCACCATTCAAGTGTTGGTGGACCTCTTTTCCTCAGTTCAGTAAACATGTGGAAAGAAGTTGATGGGTGAACATACAATACCTAAGGTCGCGTCAGGGTCTTATCTCAAATCTCACACACACTGATTTTGTTCACAGGGATAAGAAAGAATTCTTTGGATAGAAAACCCCTCATAAAAAACATTGTACATTAGAGACTTGAAAGAAAATACATGGGATAATATAACCCAATATAGTTTGCAGAGATGAAAAGAGATTTCTAAAGGGTAATATAATTCTACTTTTTTTTTAAGTCAACAGCTGTGTTCAGAATATCTGATATAGCTTAAAAGATTCTGCCTGGTGTTTGACAAGCAGTGCCAATGCAACCTAGAAGGAAATAACATCAATTTTGATAGTTACTGCATCTTTTTTTGCCTATCTTACAAGAGGAATACTGGTATACATGTATCTAGTAAGATAAGGCACAATGCTTACAATATGTGTTTGTTGTTCAACCTGGATAGATTGATAGAGAGTATGAAAAGGTAAGATGATGAGAGAAGGAAAAGGTTGAGAAAAAAATAATTAGCCTGTAAGAGGGGGACTACAAGCAAATTAATACAAAACCTATGGTTTAAATTACATATATGACAGGCTTATGAATTTTTATTTATAAAAATTACCTAATGCTCAAAGTTAAAATATACAGTCAGAAAGCAGCCCACGAAGTTCATGACCTCCTACACCCAGCAATAATTAAGCAGGACATATAAGACAATGCTTCTTGGCAAGGCTGTTAAAAAATGGCTGTGTGTATGGACATCAATCACCAAATAGGTATGTTGAATGTCACACGCATTGTGTTGAAGAGAGACTTCTAAAAGGCCTTTCTGTCTGTGTACTATAACCAGCCTATCAAATACTGGGCACATTCATACTTCAGTGCTCACAATAAAATTTAAGAACTGCAAAAAAATTTTATCTTGTTGAAAAGTTCTCAAGTAAGATTTTGTCAGTTCCTTAATTCTGATGGGTCTATGAATTTAGTATTTTATCCAATGCAAAATTAATATCTTATATATTTCCAGTGCTTTTATCAAAAATTTTTGTGAATGTTCCTATAAATCATATTTATACCTTGAAACAAGTTTTGGGAAAAAGCACATTTCAACATTGGGGAATAGCATACGAGCCAGTGGTTACCCTATGTTATATAATTGAGCTAGACTTTGGAAATACATAATATATGACATTTTGTACAACTTTTTACACCGCAGAAACCTCTTCTGGTCTATCTCTTTATCACAATAATGATTTGGCATTCATTTTTTTAAACTAACTTGAATTCAACTTTTTTTCTATAATTCTTCTATTTGGCAATTACAGACATACACACACACACGATTGAGTTAGGACTCAAGCCTTTAGAACCAATTAACAGAACTGTATGTACAATACAGCACAGTAGATAAATTGTCATGTGGTTAAAAAAAAATTAAGGCATGCATATGGGCGGCCAAAAGGGCAAAAATTCATGTCGTCGATTCAGTTATGTTTCGTCGATTCACTGCCTTCCCATCGATTCAGTTTCAAGTTTAAACGATCCTGTCATAAATTCAACATCTACTTTCGTCAATTCAATTGTCAAACATTTCTCATCTATGGTGTATTAAAACCAATGCTGTCACTATTTTCGTCGATCGTGTAACTAATCTCGTCGATCGTCAAACTGTTTTCGTCGATCGTGTAACTATTCTCGTCGATCGTCTAATCTCGTCGATCGTGTAACTATTCTCATCGATCGTCTCATCGATCGATCGCCAGAGGGCGCTGCGGTAGCAACACGTGCTTCTGTCTGTCAATCACGCGGTAATTTTTAACTCGGCCAGCCATGGTCAGAGTTAAGCACAACTAGAAAATAATGTCCCTACAACCGAATATCTTTTAATTATTAACAACTAAAATTGAAATTGTTGAGAAAATGTTCTTATTTCACTAGCAATCATTTTGTTGTCTGCCATTTTGATAGTCATGTGATAGGCCAATGTGCTACCGCAGCGCCCTCTGGCGATCGATCGATGAGACGATCGACGAGAATAGACGATCGATGAGAATAGTTACACGATCGACGAGATTAGACGATCGATGAGAATAGTTACACGATCGACGAGATTAGTTGGACGATCGACGAGATTAGACGATCGACGAGAATAGTTACACGATCAACGAAAATAGTGACAGCATTGGTTTTAATACACCGTAGATGAGAAATGTTTGACAGTTGAATTGACGAAAGTAGATGTTGAATTTATGACAGGATCGTTTAAACTTGAAACTGAATCGATGGGAAGGCAGTGAATCGACGAAACATAACTGAATCGACGACATGATTTTTTGCCCTTTTGGCCGCCCATACGTGCATACACTGAAAATGTAACGTCTCTTCTTGTCAACTGATTTAAAAATGAATATAACAACAATAAACAACAAAAAAATTAACACATTTCAGCCACCCTCTGCAATTCCTATCATTAATACAACTCACTTCAGGACATGGAGGATTACACCTGCTGCCTTCAAATGGCTTAGCTATATAAAAACAACCTGCAGAGAAGAGTAGTGGTGAGGAAAGACCAACCTATTTCCAATGTAAATGTGACTAAACAGGCTGTCATTTTTACCTAAACACAATATGCACCTATATCGGTTCCTAATACTGATTGATCTGTACTGTACTGCTAGTACATGCCTGGAGCTTTAGATATCCATTAGTATTTAGAAATGCCTATCAAGACAGAGTTTATAGATCACATAATAAACAGACAATATTGGATCTTAAATTTAGCACAAAGCAAGTGTGTTTTGTTATCAATGAAATGCATGTATTTCTGTAATTTTTCAAACATCAGTTGGGTACCACTCTACCCTGCATAAAACCATCCATACATTTTCTTTAGAGGATAAAAATACATTTGACTTTGAACAAAACAAATGGTATAATATTATTAATGATGCATGACTCCAAAGATGCATGTATGATACTAGTAATTTTTTAATCATACCATTTGCCTGTCTATGCCAAACACAGTAATTATATCTTAATGACAGTCTTTCCATACAATAATTTATTTTAAACAATGAAACAAAAGATCAGCCCATGTCATAATAAATCGTGGGGAATTATTCACTGTTTTAATCACTGTGTTAACCTCCAAACAAATGACTTGCCTGATCATTCCACCAACATTTTCTTAGGTAATTATACGTCAGATATGTGTACAAAAAATGAATTTCTTAAATGTGTTCAAATATACCAATAATAAAACGCTGGACAATAACTTTAAATTACAATTTTCCCATTGCAATCAGATACAGTTGTTAAAATCGATTTATTCATTGGGCGAATGAAAACAACTTTGCTTTTTACATGAAAAATAATGAATAATATAATTAAATAATGAATTTTTTAAATAGCACAGTTCAGGTAGAATTCGACACAAACTCAACTGAGTCATTCACGACGAGTGCGAAAATGAGATGTTCACAACCAGAGGGGTATCTATTTCTTATCTGTGTTCATTATTTCTATACTCACCTCTTTCATCATGTGCAGACTTGAAGCAATCTGGTTTCCATCCAGGCATTTTACCTCATTCCTCATTTAATAGTACAATACGTATTTAATAAGATAAAACGTGCATTTTCTTGCTCTCGGTTTTGCCAGGGGTAATCCTAGAGAGGGGTAAGAAACGTCCATTGTTCTCGTCAGTGAGGCTAACCGAATTCAGGGTATGTACGCACAGACAGAAAACTATGTATTGTGGGAACGTTACTAATGAAGCCACTGGTAGTACTAGTAGATATCAGTCTGTAGGCTAGAACAAGCACCTCGTTGACGAGTGAACAGTTGTCAAAAACAAAAGACCCAGGTGTGGTAGATCGACTACTGTTCGCGCGTGCCGCAAAGACGAAGCCTAATTGCCCCTCAAGGTCACAAACTAATATCCGGTGCTTACGGTTAGGCTCGTCATAATCATATAAGTAGCGCGTTCCCACCCCCTGGTTTTGCTAAAGATTTCATGCCTTCAAAATGGTGCATTATTTTAAGGTCTCCTTTACAAGAAGAGTCAACCCAAGAACAAGATAAT